GGGGGCTAAGGAAATGCTTATCTCCCCGAGCGCGGCCTTCATCAAACCATTCCATCACAGTTACATTCAACTTTGCTTTTGATAGCAGAAACTCCATTACCTTGTAACTTCCCCCAAAGTTTCCATGACTTCCATTTCATCTACCAAAACTTTTGTATTGGTTAGGATCAAGAGAGGTATAGCGCATTCTCTTCTCCTACCTTTTCCCTCTAAAGGAGAAGGTTGTCAGGAATTTCCTGGAATTTCCAAGAATGATAGTGGATACCAGCAGCTGTGTTGCTTTTATTCCTTCTGTTTATTTTAATAAAGATGCTCTCAACAGCATGGCCTAGGTCATTACCCTGGATATCTGTGCAACTGTGGATATTTTTAATATACATTTAAATGTGTCCTCCCCTTCTATTGCTTCTGTCCTTTCTGAACACCTACGCCCTTTAGTTATTGCATTCCTGTCCTGTTAAACCAGTATCAAGAAAGTCTGTATTCTAAAAGCTCATCGAATGTTTCTATTAACTTGGCCATATTGATCTCCTTTATGTACTCTGGTGTCTTTGGGTTGTTTTGAATTTTGTAAATAAGAGAGCTCTGTTCATTTCCCACAATCGTCTTGAACCACAGTATTTTTTTTTTAAAGGGTTAATGAGCTTTAAATGTTGTGTTCAGAACCTTTACATGGAGATTTATTTTTATTGGAAAATTATTGGAATATTGGTAAATACTCCAAATTTCAGATAATTTTAAAAAATATATATCTAAGTTTAGAGAAAAACCTAATGGTGCTGAAAGCAGTTCACATAGTTCAATTATGCATTTGCATTTATAGTAGATTAATAATGAGTAATCATAGCAATCTGAAATATATTAAAACTGTGAAGCTGCCTCATTTGACTGTTAATAGATTATTTCATTTGCTGAAGAGACTGAGATCTGAGGAAAGAATTGAGGAAATGCAGGATTAATGGAAGAAGAAAAAATATAAATTATTTGATTATGGTTAAGTAACGGGTTGCTATCTTTGGTGATGTTTAATGGTTACTTTGGATAGTTTTTTTTTTTTTTGAAATGTTCAATTGGGTATAATGGATTAGTTTATCATATCTAAGTTACTATTTTTGGTATATAAATAAGGGATTATTATTTTTGGTAATGTTTATCAGTTTTTTACTTTTCTGTAATGTTGAATTGTTAATTGGGATTACTAATAGGTTGTTATCTCTGGTGATTAATGGTTTTTTAATTTTTTTTGTAATGATTAATTGTTAATTGGGATTAGATTTTGATTATTAAGGAGGGATTATGGCAATTAAGTTTAAATGGAAAGGGGGACTAAATGCTTATGATGTTAGTTATTCTTATTAATTCTTATACCTTTTGTTGATTAATAAGGATTGCTGAGGATTTAGAGATGGGTCTATAGAAAATGGGGTGAAATATGGAATGAAGAT